GAACTCTGGGCCTAGGCACTGTCCCTCAGCTCTTCAGCTCAAGGCTCTACCACTTGAGCCACAGCGCCACTTCCGGCTTTTTTCATTTTGCTTATGTGGAGCTGAGGAATCGAACCCAGGGCCTCATGCATGCAAGGCAAGCTCTCTACCACTGAGCCACCTTCCCAGCCCCAAGGGCCTTGGTTTTTAAAGCTTGGGGATTTGTGGTGGGCTGACTTGGTGTGGGGTGCTTCTTCATGCCCTGCCACACAGGGGGAGATGGGGCACCCTTGAACCCTGGCACTGGGCTGGGTGAGCAGTTCCATTCGTCTCTCAGAACAGAATGGACAGGCCTGCATTCAATTGGGGACAGGACCAAGAAGGCCCTGAGTTCCTTCCCTTGCTCAGCTCTCAAGGTTTTTTGGCTGAATAAAAGGAGGAAAATCCAGCTATGTCCTCCGATGGTCCAAGCAGGCACTGGGGTTTCTTCTTTGGTCACTGTGAGAGTGAGCACCTCACGGTTCGTCCAGGAATGCAAGTGTAGACTCGGGCTCCATGCCAAGATCTCCCCCCAGACACTGAGGCTGGGGTGACAGTTTGGGAGATTTGTTCTCCCTCCACCTTTTGTAGGGAATGGGAGGAAGGCCAGAGCTTTTGGGTGGTTAATTAGAAATGAAGAGTCAGCCGCGCACGTGTGACTCATGCCTGTAATCCTAGCTATTCAGGAGGTTGAGATTTGAGGATGGAGGTTCAAAACCAGCCCAGGCAGAAAAGTCCCTGTGAGGGCTGGGAAGGTGGCTCAGTGGTAGAGCACTTGCCTTGCATGCTCGAGGCTCTGGGTTCGATTCCTCAGCACCACATAAGAAAAAAGCCGGAAGTGGCATTGTGGCTCAAGAGGTAGAGCGCTAGCCTTGAGCTGAAGAGCTGAGGGACAGCACCCAGGCCCAGAGTTCAGGCCCCATGACCAAACCCCCCCCCCCAAAAAAAAGGAAAAAAAAAGTCCCTGTGAGACTTTTATCTCCAATTACCCACTCAAAAACCAGAGGTGAAGCTGGGCACCGGGCACCAGTGGCTTATGTCTGTAATCCTAGCTACTCAGGAGACTGAGATCTGAGGATCACAGTTCAAAGCCAGACAGGTAGGAAAGCCCAGGAAACTCTTATTCCAATTAACCACTCAAAAACCAGAAGTGGCACTGTGGCTCAAAGGTAGCGCATTAACCTTGAGCAAAAGAGCTCAGGGACAGAGCCCATGCCCTGAGTTTAAACCCTGCAACTAAAAAATGAAAAGAAAGAGTCTCATGGTCTTTTCTGCTGGGCTGACTTTCAACCTTCCTCCTCAGATAGCCTCGCACCTGCATAGCTAGCATTGCTGGCAACCAGTTTATCTCTTCTCTTTTTCACTTGAGACCTGGAGATCTTTAGCTCTATGATGATCATATGCGCAGCAAGGCTTTAGAAGAGTTGATTATATTAAACAGATGAATTCTTGTCTTTGAGAAAACTGGTGCATGGTACTGGCTGGTCACGTTGAGAATGAACTTTCAAGGCATTTGTTAGAGATGCTTTTTGTGCTGAAGACCTTTCCATAGAAACCATAGGCTGAGGGCAACTGGGGATGCAGTAGGATATTGAAACTCAGGGATACTGAAAGTCTGTCAGAGGAAGCTGTGCAGGCTCCATCTGAAGGTTTGGTGATTGATTGTTTTGAGCTTCATCGGAGAGTTTGGAGATTGCTTTGGTCTCAGCCTCAGAATGTTTTTTCCATGGCATTTGTCCAGTTTGTGCTTGATTCTTAAGAGTCTGGGAACATTTTCTCACCCTGCTGGGTGCAGACAGGGTTCTGTAACGTGCCATAGATGTTGAAAGTATTATTAAGTACACCAGGTGACACACGCCTGTTTGCCTAGCACTCAGGAGGCAGAGGCAGGAGGATCTCAGGTTTGAGGCCAGCCTGGGCTCCGTAGGGAGAGCTTGTCGAAAAAGAAAAGAAGAAAGTAGAGCAAGAACCAGTTCACAATGGCAAGGAAATAGTAACTACTGCAGATGTATTGTGACTCATGGATCGGCAAGAAAGATTTTGAAAGGCAAAAGCAAGCAGCGTTGGACCAAATCCTATGTGTCGACTAGTAATTAGTGAAAGGTTAGGAAAAAGTGATAAGCACTATGGGAACCATGGCGAGAAGGCTCCCAAGTTGTCTTATTCCTTTCTTTTGGTAGTACCAGGACTTGAACTTAGGGCCTTGCGAGGGGTAGGCAGGCTTCCTATCACTTGAGCCTCACTTGGAGCCCTCTTTGCTTCAGTTTGTTTTTCTGATAGAGGCTGGTGCTGTTGCCAGTGCTGGTCTCAGCCCATTCTTCTACTTCCATGTCCTGTGCAGCTGCAGTTCACAGGTATGTGTCACTATGCCTGGCTTGCTCTTCAAAATACAGTGTTTCCAGCTCTAGCTAACCTGGAACCATTACCGCTGGTCTCCACTGACTAACCCATTTTTCACTAAGAGGGGGTAGTTTGCCTTTTCACTGTGCTGACATTTGCAGGGATGGTACAAAAGTGACAGTGGGTACAGATGGTGGTGGTGGGTGCAAAGCCAGGTGGTGCCGCTACCCTGAAGCTACATCACCACAGTCCTCGCCTCTGTACTCTCATAGTTAAGAGAAAGTAATGTTGGTTTAACAATGTCTGGTGAGGCCTGGTGCAGTGGTTCAGGCCTGTAATCCCTGCTGCTGGGGAGGCAGAGATTGGGAGGATCGAGGGACAAGGTCAGCCCTAACAAAAAGTTGGTGAGACATCTCTCAACAGAAAAAGCTAGGTGTGGTGACACATACCTGTCATCTCAGCTTCATGGGAAGTATAAACGGGAGGATTAAAGTCCAAAACTTGTCCTAGTCATAAACATGAAACCTTTCCTGAAAAATAACTGAGGTAATTTTTAGAAGGACAGGACTCCAGGAAATGGAAATAATAGGTTTTAGTGGTTTTTTTTTCCTTCATCAATCTTTGGGAGTATAAAGGGGGACACAGAAATGGAGAGACAGAGGGTGAACAAATGCAGCAATGGTACCCACTAAACACTATGTTCAAATGAATTATCCAACTTGTGGGTGGGAATGGGAGGAAACAACTGGGAGAGAGCAAGAGAAGAGGTGACATTGTCCAAAAAGAAATAACTGTAACCCCTCTATACATCACCTCTATAATAATCATAAACAAATGTAAAGACAGGAGGCCTGGCTCACGTGATAGAGCAATCTGCTTAGTAAGCATGAGGCCATGAGTTCAAAAAATCAAATGAAATGTACATACAAACGGGCAGAAGATGAAACCCACATTTGAAGGGATCTAACATTTTTTCTGCAGTTGGGGGCCTATAAACCTAAAATGTTAATGTAGTACAGAAACCAAGGTTTGAAGCACTTACAAGGGAAGCAGCCCAGGCAGAATGCTGCAGACCAGATGTTCAGTCATAGACTGGGTTCTTCAGGGAAGGAAGGCCTGAGGTGGAGAACTCTCCGGATCTTTGGAGAGGAGGAGACCAGCACGGACACGACGGGCAGACTCGGGATGTCTTGATGCCAGTGCACGCAAGCACTGCGAGCTTCGGCCCTTCATGGTTCCTTTGGTTCAACAAAGGTCACATATCAGACCTGATCTTTCGACACTTTTGCATACAAGGGGTATCCTGGACACCAACTTACCCCACACATGCGTGCTATGTGCAGTTCCAACTTAATGGATCAGTGGGAAGAAAGCTTGAGCTTAGATCCATTTCCACCATGAGGCAAGGACTCCTTGGACCCCAGGGGAAGTGACTTTGCTCTTCTTGTTTGCAGTTCTTGCAGTCATCCCATAGCCAGAGAAGAGGTCTCAGCAGTGATCTGAGGTTGGGTTCACTGACTTTGGGGGCTGCTTGGCAGTGGGATCCTCACCTTCTGACAAGCCCTTTCTGTCACCAAGGAGAGAGGCTAAGAAACTGCCCCTTTAAGAGCCTCTGACCTTGGCTGGGAAGGTGGCTCAGTGGTAGAGTGTTTGCCTAGCATGCATGAGGCCCTGGGTTCGATTCCTTGGTACTACATAATCAAAAAAGAAAATTATTTTAAAAAGTAATTCAAAAAGAGAATTTGGCCTTAAAGCTGAAAGCCCTGGGCCCTAAAGTGATATCATCTCTATGGGGAGTTTGGGTTTGAGCCTCCCTACCTTCGGGGGGGGGACGAAGCAGCTGTCTGTTCTTGTTATGGGGGAGACCTCGTGTCTCCCCTCCTCTTCTAGAGTCTTAGACATTCCCAGTTCCTGTCCAGTCACCCTTCTCTGCCCCCGGCTGCCAATTATGTCCACTTGATCTTCCTGTACTATTCTGGTTGGAGAGGAGACATTGAAGGGAATGGGTAGGTGGCATTCTGTGGGGGGAAGAGAATGACACAGTTCAGATGCAGATGTGAGGCTCCCTTCTGCCCCTCATCCCCAGGCTGGGCAACCTTGGCAGCTGCCCACCTGCCTGAGCCTCCATTTTCTTATGGTCAGAATGGCATCAAACTTACTCGCCCCCACCAGCTTTTTGCTCCAAGCTCTGTATGTGCATGCATACATGTGTGAACATGTACTGGGGCTTGAACTCAGGGCCTGGGTGTTGTCCCTTAGCTTTCTTGTTTCAGCCTGGTGCTCTACCACTTGAGCCATAGCTCCACTTCTGGCTTTTTGGAGGAGACTTTCCTGCCTGGACTGGCTGTGAACTTGGGTCCTCAAATCTCAGCCTCCTGAGTCACTAGATAACAAGTATGAGCCACGGGTGCCCGACTTTGCTCCAGACTCGGAGGCTAGTTGATGCTCGAGTGAACCTCAAATTGCCACACACAAAACAGCCTCCTGTTCCAAGGTTTCCAGACTGAGGTCATGGTATCATACCATCCGATGCCTTGTGTGTATATCTGAGAAGTTGGGGCCCTTGCTTATGAATTTACATAACAGAATGAACTAATGTTGGCACATCTTCCTCCTTCTCATATTTCTCTTTTCTCTTTTAGGGATCCTCATCTTCTAGACCCAACGCTGGAATATGTGAAGGTAGGAATCCAGGATTTAGTGTGAATAGTAGTAGATTTAAACATTTAGTTTATCCCTGGATAATAGCATTCCCATTTCTCACCCAGTATTGCCAAATAATCCTGCAGGCTGGCTTATGTAGAAAGTGAGTTCAATGGTCTGAAACTACTGGAGGACATTTGACTCTGTTAGTCCTTGGTAAACTTTATAAATGTCTTGTGACATCTTATTATGTCTACAGTCTTTCCCTGTTTATGTGCCCCAAATGTATCTTAAAACTGAGTTTTTATGAAGAAAGGTATGGTTCTTGTATGTAATACTCCCCAAGAAAATGCAAGTGCATTAGTTTGTGTAAGAACATTCACACCAAGTGGAATCAATGAACAACACATGATTTTATTCAGGTCACATTGTTGCTACCAAATAAAATCTATTTCATTTTGTTGCTAAAGCATCATTTAAAAAAATTATCTGTAAGATCCTCAAAGAGGTTTCAATTCAACGTGTCAGATTATGAGTACGGTGCACTTAGTCCCTGTCACCCCTTCCATTGTTCACGATTTACGATTCATTCCTAAATTCTTAGTCTTCGGATATTTGGTCTCCGGGGAAGGGAGATGAGGAATTGTAGGCCTGTTTTTACCTTTAGTGGATCCTAAGGGCCTTGGGGTTTTGTGGGCTGTCCGCTCTTTCCCAACGCCCCCATGTTGAGAAGGGGACCAGGAAATAGCTCTGTTTTCCATGGAGCTGAGAGTCAATGCTGCTAAATATTAACAGTATTTTCCTTCTGGACAGAAAGATAAGATTTTTGTTTTCCACATCTGCCCTCTGGCCTCCCCTCACTTAGGGAGCGTGCACTTTTATTTTATTTTTGAACTGCTCTTATATCTGGTACTTTTGCCGGGAGCTGGTGGCTCACGCCTGTAATCCTAGCTACTCAGGCTGAGATCTGAGGATTGCAGTTCAAAGCCAGCCCAGGCAGGAAAGTCCATGAGACGGTTTATCTCCAATTAACTGGAAGTGGCGCTGTGGCTCAAGTGGTAGAGCACTTGCCTTGAGCTGGAAAGCTCAGGGACAGTGCCCAAGCCCAGAGTTCAAGCCCCATGACTGATGTCCCCCCCAACCCCCCCCCCCACATCTGGTACCTTCTATAGAAGAGAGAATTGGCTTGTCACACTTGGATTTATAGGAAAAAAATATATATATAGAGAGAGAGAGTACATAATATATACATATACATACACATATGTAATATATATTGTGCATATATGTTATATATAACACATGTTATGTATAAAACACATTACATATTGGTGTGTGTGTGTGTGTGTGTGTGTGTGTGTGTGTGTGTGTGTGTGTGTGTGTGTGTGTGATTTCTGTCTTCATTGTTCCCAGGGCAGCCTTCTGGTTTCAGAGCACAGTCATGTTTTTGTAATCTGTACCTTAAGAGTTCTGGCTCTCCCTCCCTCTTTAGACCAGAGGCAGAAAGAGAGGAGAAAGTTCCAGAACAATCACCCATCACATGGTACAACTTGTGGATGCTATTTCTGCCAGTCTGTTATACCTGACCAGTGGTCTGAGCCGTGTTTCCAGCACAGCCAGTGTGCAGCCCTGATTTGGCAGGGCTGCTGCATCAGAATCTGGCTCCTGGCTTTTGGAATGGTGGGTTTGTGTCCTGCCTGTACACGTTACATATATTTTTCTGCAGGTTGTGTATTGCAGCTTATGAGGGAACACTATTTATAGGCTATGGTTTTACTTGGCTGTATTATTAAAAATGTGCCTGGGATGAGGCAGGATATAAAGCTACACCAACCCTTTAAAATTCACTGGACTCTGTGTGTGTGTGTGTGTGTGTGTGTGTGTGTGTGTGTGTGTGTGCACGCACGCACATGTGCTCCTCCTGGGGCTTGAACTCAGGGTATGGGTACAGTTCCTCAGCTTTTTCACTTGCGGCTGGTGCTCTACCACTTGAACCACTACTCCATTTCTGGCTTTTTTTGGTAGTTAATTGGAGAGAAGAATCTTCCAATCTTTCCTGCCCATGCTGGCTTTGAACCATGATCCTCAGATCTCAGCCTCCTGATCTGTGGGGTTTGTTACCTGTAGTCAGTCATGGCCCAAAAAACATCAAATGAAAAAAAAAATGTCCACAAATCAACAATTGTTCTAAATAACCTCCTTTTCTTAGTAGCTTCCGAAACCTTACGCTGTCCTGCTCCGTCTCACGTGGGACCCGAATCATCCTTTGTCTGGCATTGCCACACCGGATATGCTGCCCTCCTGCGGGCCACCCAGGGGCCATCCTGGTGATCACAGCATCACAGGGCTTGTGTCCAAGTAACCTTTGCTTACTCAGTGGTCCCAGCGCTTGAGAGTAATGATACAGAGAGGAGCAGGGTATAAACCACAGAAGGACAGATTGACCCCGTACTTCATGGCAACACAGCAAGGCATTTATGAAAAAAGACAGTGTATATAGAGAAAGGGGCCAGGCATCTTGAGATGTATTCCCTAGAGATAAGAGGGGATGGCTGTATTAGCTATTGCATGTCAGTCATAAGATGTGATGGATCAAGATCTGGGACAGAATGGCTTCAGTGTGTCTTTATCCATACCCTGCACATTCCTGTAGTGGTGAGAATTGGTGAGATCTCAGAGTCTTGAGGAGTTTAGCTGTGAGCCACCAGCACCTGGCTACAAAATATTTTTCCTTCTTACTCTGCGCTGGGTCTAATAGAAGGATTTGGGCGCTGGTTGGGGCCAGTGTGGGGGTATTTTCCACTTGCCTCCAGGGACTACAAAGCTCTGAAAGCAAGTTCTGAAGGCCTCTGACCTGAAGGCCCAGAGAGGCCTACATGCCAGTCGTCTTGGGCTGGTTCATGTCAACAGTAGCACGTCTCAGATTCAGTTGCCCTTTGGAGCCTGGATACTGGTCCCATGAAGCCCCATAAACCAGGGCCAGCGGGGGCCTCATGATTAGAGGGCGGCTGAAGGTAAATGCATGTGAGGTCCTGGTGGACCGTGTGAGATGCAGTTTGGCCCCTTGACTTTGATCTGCCCCACCCTTCTTTCTCCACTTACTCAGTGCCTTTGGGGCATGGAGAAAAGAATGAGTTCTGTGTAATAACTCCTGCTGGGCCTTATGGTAAGGTCAGATTTATTTAAAGCCTAATCATAATAATCAAGGTGCCAAATGTTTAGGAATTCACCCTCACCCTTGAATGGGGACAGTCTGGTCCCTGCCTGAGCTTCATTTAGGCGGTGGGAACACCCAGCTGTGGGCAAGAGGCGGCTGATCGTGAGACTGCCACCGTGTTCACCTCCTTTCTAATGCCCAGAGAAAGAGGGGAGGGTGTGACAGCATCCCCTGCCTCCCTGGGCCTAGAGGAGACAAGGCACGGAAGCCTTGTCCAAGGACCGACTGGACTCTCCAGCATCAGCACCAACCAGAGCTGGGGAGAGTAAGAATCCAGAATCCAGTTCTGCCCAGTTGGTATTCTGTGTCCTTCTCAGTCTCTGCAGGTTTTGTGCTGTGCCACGTGAAAGCCGTGTGGAAGGGGACCAGTTTCTCTGTTGCTTAGTTACCGTCCTCTGTCCTCTGTGCGGAGTGGAGAGGCTAGGGAGCCCCTGGGCTGTTTGGGGGGTTCTTCGGCTGTCCAGCAGGCTGGCCTCCTGCTGAGGCCCCCACCCCCTACAGCACATAGACCTGAAAGGTTTAATTTGAAGTTTGGACGTGAGCAGAAAATAAATAGAAGATCCAAAATAGCCCAGGAATTTGGAATCTTAATTCCCCACCATGTTCATCTCTAAATCTGCCCTGGAGAGTTTGCTGAGTTTTGTTTTCTTGTTTTGCTTCTCAATCTTCGTTTCCTTAGCCCTTTTCTACCCTTGTGGGGGTTTTGTTTGTTTTTTGGTGGTGTGGTAGTTTTTTTTTTTTTTTCCCCTGCAGTAGCTTAAAACACGATCATCTTGAAGGTCTGATTTTAAGAAATTCTTTTCATTTGTAGTTTGCAGTGGAATTTTCCTCTGCGTACCTAGCATACCTTACCATAGATAAAACCAGTTTGTGTGTGTGTGTGTGTGTGTGTGTGTGTGTGTGTGTGTGTGTGTGTGTACAGGAGGAAAGAGCTTTCAGAGGCAGTGGCTCTGGGCATAACTGATGTAGTTTGGTCCTCTGGGCAGCTATAGCTGCTCAGCTTAATGTCCCCGTGGGGTTCTGCTGTATTTCGACCCCCATTAAGATGTATTTAGTCTGTGTCCAGTGTCTTAGGCTTGTCAGGTGTTAGTGTAAGAGATGTGATTAAATAGCTGTGCTAAGATGTTAATAATTGGTAATGGCTCAGTGTACCTTCCCCACATGACAGTCCAGCAGTGACTCTTAATCATGCTAGGGAGGGGGCTGGGCTGCACTGAGTTTTCTTCCATTTTCTCTATGGCCTCTGTTTTGCTGCAGCTAGAAAACTTCAGCATGGGATCTTCTTGCTCCTTCCAGCTTAATATTTTTGGGACAATGCATGCCTGTAATATGCCTGAAAGGAAGGGTTTTTTGCTTGTTTTAGCACATGTTGAGTTCTTAATTAGTGTGTGTGTGTGTGTGTGTGTGTGTGTGTGTGTGTGTGTGTGTGTGTGTTTTGCTTTGCTTTTTTCAGTCTTGGGGCTTGAACTCGGGGTCTGGGCCCTATCCCTGAGCTCTTTCGCTCAAGGATTGTACTTTACCACTTTGAGCCACCGCCCCACTTCTGGTTTTCTGGTAGTTACTTGGAGATTAGAGTCTCACATACTTTCCTGGCCAGCCTGCCTTTGAAGAACCATCCTCAGATCTCAGCCTCCTGCATAGGTAGGATTATAGCCTTGAACCACCAATGTTCATCTTGGGATTGTTTTTTTATCTTGTTTTGTTTTTTGGGGGGGTCCGGTCGTGGGGCCTGAACTCTGGGCCTGGGCGCTGTCCCTCAGCTCTTCAGC